GTTCCTCAAGGCTCAATCCTCGGTTCCCTATTATTTATACTTTTCATCAACGACCTGCCACTGGACGTTTCCAAAAGTACTGTCAAAATTTACGCTGATGATACAACACAAGTTGCATTTGGACGTACTGATAAAGAGGTAGAGACCATCCTCACTCATGAACTGAGGCTTCTAAGCAGATTAGCCGATGAAAATAAAATGGTTTTAAACCATAGCAAGACAAATTCAATGACTGTCTGCAGCAAGCCGAAGTTTCGGGGCTTGGACGGTGAAAATCTTAAAGTGAGAAACGATAAAAGCCAACTTGATTCTATAGTCAGGAAAAGTAAACTACTTGGCATAAAGTTAGACAACTGTTTAACCTGAGAAAAACAAATGGCTCACGGTAATGCTCTTTTTGTTCTTCGATTTAAAGGTTTTTGTCACAAGATTGACAGCAAAATTTAAATTTCAACTAATTTCAACAAATAGGGAAGCGACTTGGCCTGCTGAAAAGGACAAAATAATTTCTTTCCCTAAAAGCAAGAACCCTGTTCTATAACTCAATTATCCAGCCAATGCTTGACTATGGGGCGGTTGTCTGGGGATCCTATAACAAACAGCAAGCCCAAGATATTGTCAAATTGCAGAAAAGATGCGCCAGAATAATCCTGGACAAAAAACGGGACACTCCCTCGAGACTTCTATTCAAAGAGCTAAGTATCTTGCAATTTGATAAAAGACTGGAGTACTTGCGGAATATCTTAGTTTTTAAGGCCCTTAACAATCTCGCACCAAATTACATAAGAGCTATGTATACAATGTCTTGTCGGACACTCATAACTGGGCACGAGAAACGCAAAGCACAATTTGATACTACCAAAGGTTAGGCTAAAATGGCCAAAAATGGCCATGCCCACAGGTTTTGACCAGCTAGGAGCTGGAGAGAACTCCCAAAAGGCATTAAAGAGGCCCGGTCGATCAGTACATTTTCGCTGAAACTTAAAACGTACCCTTTATGACCATAATATTTGTATCCATTGTTTGTAAGTAGGACTTTCTTGATGTTGTTTATTTATTCATTACTTAATTTTTTTTTTAATTTTTTATTCTTAATTTTTGGTTGATGGCCACGCGCATATTATCTGTGGATATTAAGTGAAACCCTCATTTAAAAAAGTATCTATCTATCTATCTATCTATCTATCTATCTATCTATCTATCTAAATCGAAAATTTTCGGATTGGCCGAAAATATGATGGAGAGAGGCATTAAAAAAATTCTTACCTTCTTAAAGGGTTAAATTACATCATAGATTTTCGGGAAAATAATATTGATGCCCTATTTTTAAATATTCCAAAAGGTTTATCGTATATCGAAAAGACTCTGTTGTCATAAATTAGAGGATTGCTGGTCGCGCAGCTACTACTGAAACTCGCATGAAAGAAAGCACTCCACTTCCTTAATTCAGTATCCGTGATGCATGTGTACACGAAATATATCTCGCTTTCCGAGTTTCCCCGGGCCTCTGTATCAAAACGAAGTTAAGTGCTCAGCCTTTGATTGGAAATAGTTTGTCATTCTCATGCAAATAAAACTTATTTTGACAAGAAAGATTGTTCCGACAGCACTTGGCCTCATTTGGAAGTGAAGGTTTTTGTAACAAGTCGGAAGTGGCCTGACCGAACAGTTGCATATTTTATAGCACTACGGCTTAGATTACATTTCCAGATTTCTAGCTTAACGAGGGATGTCATGACAACCTGACAGATGATTACGACTCCTATTTCCCTTTTATTTGACACGAAGAATGTTTATGCTTTGAAGACACTTTTAACTATAGTGATTAGGAAGTTTCTATCGATTAAGATTAAACATTGGACAATATTTATTTAAAGCAGCGACTTATCCCACTTTTATTTATTTCTTTTTTGACTCTTTCATAAAATATTTCTTAATATCCTGTCAATTATCTCAGTTCAAATAATAGCTAAGAAATTGCGTTCGTTTATATTTTTTTTAGTTTAATTTCCTCCTTTCCTTAGAATTAGTGCCTTCCTTTATCCTGATTGCATCAGTTCAAAACCGCGTGCCATGTTGAACAAAACAAAGAAAACAAGTTTCCCGTGACGTCATCCATGTGTCTGTACTCTGATAGATCATGGACAACGACCAATCACCACGCGCGAAGCATTCACATCATTGTATAAAATATTATAAATATTTACACATCTAGCAGTAGCTTAGTTTTTTTAAAAAAAAAATTATCTATTATATATTTTAAAATACATGGAAATGTTTTGCCTTTTCTTGTGGAATTTATTGGGATTAAACCTTGAAAAGAGCTTTACTGTGTTATGAATGTCTCTCCCTGGTCTTTCGTATTATTAAAAATACTATTTTCTAATAATTGGATAAATTTTGTACACACAACGGAATTAAGAAGATTAACAAAATTGATTTGCGTTACCCCCCTAGCCTTCTGCTGCATGAACACTGGCAAAGGTAAATAAACTACGGT